TCTGTATAAGTATTAATCCCGTTCCCTTGGGCTTGACAGACATATTGAACTGATCCTGTTATGTTAGGAGAATATGACTGAAAACCATGAGCATTGAGCAGTAAGATAGTCAATGCATTCTCTATATCAGCATTGGCTGGTAGGGGACAATTTTGAGCAACTGATAATGAGAAAACAAGAATAAAGCACACAAGACACTTCATGGCATGCATGCAGTCTTGTATAGCAACTGGATATATCTACTTTGCTTCTATCTATTTGTAGTCTGTTTTGAGGTTAATAGTATATAGTTTCCTGCATTCCTTAAAATTAAAAATTGCTTACCCCCATCATGCTACTCATGTCTCAACTATGATCTATAGAATATAGAATTTGAAAGTTTACACAGTGTAACTAACATAGTTTACATGTCAACACATCATCATGTTTGTAAACTATACTATATAAACATAGTTTATTTCTCCTATAAAATTTTATTGCGTTCAAATTGATGCTACAAACTTGATTTTACAAGGAAGGCACAATATTAATAATCTAACTAAATCAAAAATAATAAAAGTCTGCATGCATTCAGTCAGGGCTTAGAAGTGGCTCTCTAGTTTCTGAATAAGAATCAAAGAATGAATCTTCAATATTTAGCCACAGCTGCTTCCTTTTTGCTGAGTATATTCTCTTAGAATTTTGACATAGGGAAGAATAGTGTGCTTTAAAATACAGGTTCAACTTCTTTAGTTTTCCTTTTACCCATAGAACATGACCAATGACAATTGCAAAAAATATCAGCAAGATAAGCATTGTACCAAAATTGAATGCCAGCACTAGTCCATCCATATTACTGATGAAAAAGAGATACCACATAAGTAGTGCTATGAGGAGAGTAATGAATAGTATCAGTAAATTTAGATAATTGAGCCATCTTGCTTTATAAGGTGGAAATAAGGCTGCAGAAAAGATGTAAATTATCCATAATATCATAGTGAATATGCAGAAACTGGAAAAATGTTCTTCGTGTATTTGACAAAAGTGAATATAACAGAACACTACGACTAACAGTTGAGCTGGAAAGAAAAACTCTCGATTGTCCTTATAAGGAGCATGTATGGCTTCATAAACTGGGCGAAGGTATTCCCTAAACCTGTTGATTTTCATAACCAATCTACCAAATAGCAATATACCAACATAAACAATTAGTATAGGCCAAACTATTAGAGATGTCATGATCATTAAAACCAGGTGACTACCACTCCCATACTCTGTGGTGCCATCTCTAAGCCAAACATGAAGTGGTACATCAGTTGTATTGAGATGTATAATGCTATAGGTATACACATTCTGTACAGATACGAGAAAACTTGAGAAAGAGAGATGTACAACGGTCACGAGAACTTGAATTGATGATACAGATATTTTATTTGAGAGCTAAGAAGCACTACAATCACCATGAGATAAATTGGAAATACTAAACTAAGTGCAAACTTCCATGCTTCCGTCATTCCATTGTACAAACAAATTGGGTAATTGAAGTTGATGTTCAGGTTAAGCAACGAGATTAATCCATTACTGATTGAGTGAAAAACAGAAACAAAATTACGACTTCTTAAATTGAATTGATTATAAGTCACAAGTATTTGAGCATAAAACACAATACCATTCATAGTACCTGTAGTCAGTGTGAGTCTGAGAGCATATAACAAATAGATGAAGAGAGGACCAGCGACTGCATACGCTAATGTTGTTAACAGCCACCAGTTACTGCATTTGCTGCATCGAATAGATCCAAACACTACACTGTACCCAGGAGAACATTGTGAGCATAGTGGGCCCCTTCTATTAGTAGTACAAAGAGGAGCTGCATCAGATAAATCTTTGTTCGTTATTTTGATATCTGTACCATTTACAAGGAAAAGATTATAAATACTATCCAAGTAACAGAAGAGGTGACAAGATTTGGCAGCACCGAATGCAGTTGTACCACTAGTTAGATTCACTAACCCAATCCAACCTGCCATATAATATCCAGAGCATTAACCAGTAAGGTAGTCAATGCATTCTCTATATCAGCATTGGCTGGTAGAGGACAATCTTGAGCAACTGATAATGAGAAAACAAGAATAAAGCACACAAGACACTTCATGGCATCCAGTCTTGTATAGCAACTAGATAGTATACTATGCTTCCATCTATTTGTAGTGTTTTGAAGTTAGTAGTATAGTTTCCTGCATTCCTTAAATGGTGTCTAACCTAAAGTCTATTCACTTTCACCTGACCCCTGGCTTTTTTCAATTAATAAATAACTACGTCACATCCGCATTCTTTACGTATTTGTGGTTTTTGGAATTGTTTTTGTTGCACGGGATGCAGATAAGTAGCAGCTGAATTTAATCTGGCTGTTTTAGCTGCATAATTGTGGTCAAAGGTATGCCATTGAGTTTATACAGGGACATCCAAAAAAGGCTAACGCCTTATCATTTTGACCCGATCTTTTTATCTAAAGGACGGGAAGGACCTAGCGATTCTAATGGTACAAACAAAATTTCTAAATTCCATGTTTATCAAAAGTTATAACAAAAAATCAATAGGTCAGGTGAAACTGAATGGACTTTAGTAGGGTCTAATGGTGTAAAACATAAAATTTGAAAGTTTACATAGTGCATAATAGTTAACATAGTTTATATGTCAAGGCATTATGGTTCATACACCATACTATGCAAACATGGTTTACTTTCTCTTTGTTCTCTCATCTCTCATCCTACTAGTTCTTTTATTTGGAGTTCCCAATTATGTTGAATTTGGTGGCAGATGCTGCTTGCTAGGGCTACTAATTCTATTTTCACAAAGAACAATCTTTTTCTCAAAAAACCATTAAACTACAGACTCTACTGAGCATGCTCAACACAAAATTAATAACTAGTAATAAACATGAACACCTATTAATATTTAATTCCTAACACTCCCCATTGACTAGGTAACTAGTCGATACACAAATAAACAAAATAAATTGTAACCTATACACAACAAAAACATTCAAAAGAAATAATAATCATAAACTAATTGATAATATATAACATACAGAATAATAAGCATAAAAAATAATTACAAACACTCACAGATGTACTGAGTTTCTATGAGAGTTAATTAATTCAAACAGAATGTGTAAGTATTTTACTCTTTAGCTTGAATGGCTGCAGCTCTCTGCACAGACTCATGTTCCTCAGTATGATCTTCTAAGATTGACTCATTAACTGCTTCACTGTCTGGTATTGGGACAACTTCTGGTTGTGAAGTAGTATCTTCTTGTGTGTGTCCCATACCTCCAATTGATAAAGCTTCTGTACAGGTCTCCTTAGTAATTTAGAACATTTACCTCCTGTATAGACACGAATTACAGCTCCTTGATAAATTAGCAACAAAAAAACGTAAAAATAGGTCATACAAATACTTCATGATTGAACCAATCACTGGATTGTAGTAATCTCAGACGAAAGGTAGAATTGTTTCTTAGTCATTTTTGATGAACTTTTGGCTAAGACTTGACCCAAAACATCTACTGACAAGAAACCAAAATTTTGTGGAAAATCCAGCCAATTTATCAGAAACTTCTACAAGACATTTGAACAATTATTTTGTTGAATTCTGCCAACTATTTCATATTGGATAACATTTTGGTGATGGGAACCTTCTAACTAGACTATACGTAAGGAACTTCAAGGAGAATACCTGACCATTATAATTCCAGTAGGCGGAAGCTGCCACTATGGTAGGATTCTAATACTTATCTCTACTCCGCTTCCAATAAAGTCTAGTTCAAAGTTGCACCTTTAGTCTTGTGGTAATAACATATTAGTAGTATTAGTGTACTACTATTTGATATACTGATACTTAACTTACACATGTACATTCACACTAGAGCAGCACCATCATTGTGTTGGGAACAAGATGAATCATAGGTCATGTAATGAATTTTTTAGCCCTGAAAGATTCCATAATAGTAGCTGCTTAAGTGCATATACATATTATCTACGTCAATAATAATGATTGTGTCAAAAATAAGTGCAACTAGCCAATTAGATTGTACTTTCCACATGACATACTTACAAAGAACTTTAGCATCAGCTACTACTAAATTTGCCCTTCAAATTTTTATTACAGACTAAGCAGGACCCCCAAAATAGTCTCATTTGACTAACCAAATTAAAGTCTATTATTGTACATGAAACGAATATCAAAAGTCATTAATTTTGCAGCAAGATCATACCTTAACTACATCAGCACATGATCTTGATTGGTTTGTGCAGCAGTTGGACCTCATGAACCTACAAATATTGAGTGAATTAAAATTAATATCCTAGCTCTCTACATACAATGTACATGGTGATTCAGTCTATATAGATATTCTCAGACACTGGCATCTTTGTCCCAGTAGTCAGTCTATACGAATGCTGCCCCAAGTGCCATTAAAACAAACACAATTTGCTGTGATGACTGTATAACTGGTTGAATGTGAACCTCCATTGAAGCAAAAGAAGAAAATTGAGAAGAAATGCAGTCCATTTTGTAGCAAGGCTGTCACGTGACGTGTCTAGATACAGTCTACTTAAATTAAAACATGAAAAGATTTAACAAGACAAAAAATTGAGCAGTAGATCTAGATCTAAAAAATAATATCTAGAAAAAATTATATAAAAATCAAACAATTAAATATAAATTCAGCACAAGATCTAAAAAATAATATCCAGAAAAAATTATATAAAAATCAAACAATTAAATATAAATTCAGCACAAGATCTAAAAAATAATATCCAGAAAAAATTATATAAAAATCAAACAATTAAATATAAATTCAGCACAAGAAAAAGAAATTTAGAGAAAAGTTTCATTAGACTCTTTAAACATATTTTCTGTAGGCATAAGACCAAAACTTTCAACTTTGCTTTCTCCTTCTTTCATAATGTTATTCATGTAACTTTCACTTTCATCATTACTGTCAGAGTCTTGAGCAAATTTTAATTTGATACTTTGGACTGAACCTATATTTTTAATCAAAAATTAAAAAAATATGTGTTCATTATTCAACTAGAGTTTAAGCTAGAATTACCTTCAGGATTACGAGCAGTATGTTCATAATATAGATTCTCAACAGTAAAATCATCATCATCATTTTTCTTTAAAACCTTATTGGACTTTTTTCTATAGCTATAGAACACAATCTCCATATATACATTATTAATTAAGGTCAATTTACCATACAAGACAGCCCACACTGGTTATTATTATGATGATGAGAAAGGCTCCAATTACAACTCCAATTGTTATTCCTGCTATTTGTCCAGCAGATAGTCCATCATCTGTAGGAGTTACTGAAGCAGTAGGTGTCACTACAATAGTAGTTGATGGTGGATTTAGTAATGCAAGACTAGCAATTGTGAACCCAGCATTAGCATATCTTGAATCAGCTGCCTGTATAAAATAAATTTAATACCTCATTACAGTGAATACCATAATGCTACAGTA